TCATTTTTAAATATTTTAAAATATAATTGAAATTGATTTTACACACTTTAAGCAATATCGTATCGCATATCGAATATCGCATTTTTAACAAGGTATCGCATATCGCATTTTTCTTCAATATCGCACAACCCTAGTCTCCATGTGTTCACACTGCCTGCCGGCCATTTTGAAAGCTGTCTGAAAACTTTCACCAAAAGAGGAGCCCCTTAAATGTGCGTTTTTTTTTTTTTTTTTAGATGTTTAAGCCTTTATTTTGTTTCACTACTTATTGTAAAATTAAGAGATTAATGTTCAGACTTTTGCATATTATAACCTAGAACTTGGATGTGGGAAATAATTACATTAGATCCAAAAGATAGTTTTAGCAGATCGTTACAGATCTTCTTTATGCACCGAGAGCTTGTAAGCCTTTAATCATGTTTGAACTTTCTCAGACTATAGTTTTTGCTCTGGTATATGAAGAAGTACTTAAAGTGTGTGGAAAGCAAAGTTACAATGATATAAAATTAGTGTCATTCATTTTTTTTGTTTGTATGTTGTATATTTTCTGATTTGTGACATTACTTTTTATGTAATGCTAAAACACTGCTGGTCACTTTCAGAAGTTGTAGTGATTCTTTCTTTTCCAAGAAAGAATGTGAAACAAATTGGTTATATAGTTTTCATTTTTAAATATTTTAAAATATAATTGAAATTGATTTTACACACTTTAAGCAATATCGTATCGCATATCGAATATCGCATTTTTAACAAGGTATCGCATATCGCATTTTTCTTCAATATCGCACAACCCTAGTCTCCATGTGTTCACACTGCCTGCCGGCCATTTTGAAAGCTGTCTGAAAACTTTCACCAAAAGAGGAGCCCCTTAAATGTGCGTTTTTTTTTTTTTTTTTAGATGTTTAAGCCTTTATTTTGTTTCACTACTTATTGTAAAATTAAGAGATTAATGTTCAGACTTTTGCATATTATAACCTAGAACTTGGATGTGGGAAATAATTACATTAGATCCAAAAGATAGTTTTAGCAGATCGTTACAGATCTTCTTTATGCACCAAGAGCTTGTAACACTCCAAAGAGAAAGGAAAAATTGAAATCGCATCGTATGACCCCTTTAAGCACAGTCAGACTTTTTGCATTTAATGATGTATATCTTAATTGAAATGCTTTTTTCATTTAAAATAAAATTTAATATTTTTGTGTGAGAGATTAATATTTTATTTTAACATAACTTTTTGTACTGAAACCAATATCTTGTGCACTAAAAATGTCTCAATGTAGATTTTGGTGAGCTTAATAGGTACGTTTACCCTATACATTCATTTTCGTTGTCGAAGTAGAGCAAAAACAGGAACTTGTCTAAAATGTGAGTCACTTATTCAATTTTATCTTATTAACATTAAGTTTATTGTATTTTTCATCAAATCAATATCACATTTGCGCTCGTGCTGATATTTGGAGAAAAACGTTACTCTTCGTGTGATATTAACTTAATTATCAGATACATTTTTGCCCCCATTATCTTAAAGTTTGGGGGAATTCTAAATGTATTTTAATAGACTTAATTTCGCAGTGAAAGCATGAACTCTTAATGTGCTCTAGTCTGATCTACATCACGTTTATATGTGCACTCTCTGGGTGTTTTTGTTTGGTTGTTGCAATATACTCGATAATGTAAAATTGCATATTGTTTAAACAAGATTTACAATATTACCATAGACTATATATCGCACACCCCTAGTTGCTAGTGCTGACTCAAGTCACAAACTTGTTATTGTTAATGTTAATGTTATTGGTAGCAAGGTTATTATAGTTTTGAATTTTTAAATTTGTTTTATTTTAGCTTTAAATATATAAAATATAAAAACTCTTTAAATATAAAAGACATACTTGCGGTCTTTGAGTCAGAACAGCCGGCATTGTCGTCTACTCTTCCAGGAAACTGTCCTCCATAAAATGTGCTGCACACATCTGCGGTTCGGGTCGCGACTCGCGGTCCTTTTTGTCAAACGGTTCTCGTCTGGTACAGAATTAAATTAGTGCTGCTGTCAGATAATGGGTCGGGTGTTCTGTTAAGTACTGCTGGTGCACGTTTACCAAACAGGACTTGTGCAGGCTTTAAAATGCTTTGCGTCTCTCCGTCAGATAACCCCATGTGCGTGATGCGCCATTACAGGTACTGTAGGCTATTTCCCTAAACCTCCACACAGCTCGTATTTTTCCGCCAAGGGGTGAGAACGTAATGATTACGAAAACGATTATTTATTTTTGATAATTATTATTTTATTTCAGTTACTTTTTCAATAACTGTTGTTAGTTTAGTTTCGTTTTAGTTTTTCAATTATTTTGACGTTTTTATTTTATTTCAGTTTACGAAATTGTTTTTTCATCAATCGTTTTAGTCTTAGTTTTAGTTTTCGTTTACGAAAATAACCTTGATTGGTAGATAACTAGTGCTTTGCTGCAGTGTGGTTCTTTGACTACATAAAAACTCAATGTCATTTGATTGGTTGTCAATAACATCACATATGATTGCTCAATGACATGCAGCGGCCACAAATAAATCCTTTTGTCCTGCCCAGTGTGGCTCTAATGTTCGTGCACAGTGAAGTGGCTGGATTGTCGTGTGTGAGCTTGGCAAACGATGATGCCTGCTGCTTTTCTCCCATTGAAATCAAACTGAGAACTTGTGATGAGTGTAAAATTACCTTAAAAAGTTGGTTTCTGTGTACATCTGGGACTGAAGCCCACAGTTTAAAAGCACAAAAACACAAAAATCTTAAATTAGTCTATTGATTGGTATTCTCTCTGGTGAAAAGAAAAGGAGAGTGAAGCTTCAGACAAGCTTTTGTTGTTGTCAAGCTCCTCTGAAGCAGATCTAAGTGTAATTCCAACCTATAAAAAGCAATAAGTTAAGTTACAAGAAAACACAAAGTAGTGATAAGTGTGTGTTTCTCTCTTCAGTACACTTTTAGTTCTCTTCTCGTCATTCTCCTCTGTGGTTACAGTGATGCTTTTCCTTTTTCCCTTCACTTTTATCTCTTAAGTCTCTCTCTCTCTCTCTCTCTCTCACGCTCTCTCTCTGATTCAGGGAAATCTTGAGTCATGTTGTTGTACTTCAGATGAAAAAGATGTTTATTTCTCCTCGTATTTTGCAATCTTTTTATTTTCAGTAATGTGCACTGGTTTTACTTAGTTTATGTTGCCTCACTGCAAGAGCTGAGAGAGCAGAGTTTATGCAAGAATGTACTGGGGCTAATGTAAAAGGTCAGAGGTCAATTCGGTGCATTTTTGACAGTGCTTGACCCTATGTTATTATATCTTTATTTTCATTTTTTGTGACGTTTAAAGGGAGCAAGTTGAGTGTTTTTATGGGAAAGTCTCACTGAATGGCCTGTGTCAAGTGGCTTGCTAAATTCTCACACACACAAACATCTAGAGGAAGTTTTGGATGGAAATGATGTTCTTGGTCAGCTTCCTGTCAGATTTTGTTTCTCGGTTTTTTCACACTTCCGTGTCACTTATGTGCTGTGGGGAGGCGATAACCAGCAGACAAAGGTTACTTGATGTTTTTCATTCCACATTAGTATGTGGTCTTAAAAAAAACAAAACAAAAAAAAAAACTGTATTAACGGGAGAAACAGGACTGGAAATTGTGAGGAACTTCGTCTGAAATTGACTCAAACCAAATTATAACTCATTGTCCACATAAGTACCATGATATAACTTATTAGAGCAGCTTCTTACCTGTCTTTTAGAAGGAAAGTCAATGGGGATGCATTTGTGCATTTAGCTAAAACTTCAGTGTGAATGCTAATTATGAAGACAGATATTTCCTAAAACATGAATGAACATGAATAAAGTCTTGCTGTGAATTGTAACCAGTATATTTCTGTGTTTTCCAGATGTAGGAGAGCAGAAGGCCGTTATGCCATTGACCGAGCTGCCATCATCAGTCACTGGAACTGGCTGCAGGCCCAAGTCTCGGATCTGGAGTACCGTATACGCCAACAGACCGACATTTACAGACAAATCCGCTCCAGCAAGGTGTGCACATTTACTTTGTTCACTTTGTGCTGTTTACTGGAGTAGTTTAAGTTTTAACCCAGCAGAGGTGGCGTCTGCCTCTAGTAACTTGGCAACGTGGGTGCTCTCTCATGTTCCCGTGGTGAGGCACACTCTTGTGGGGTCGTTGTTTCATGTTTCTTTTGCTCACTGTTTTTGTTTTAAACTGACATTTTTACAGCTTGTTTTCCTTGTGTGATTTAAACACAAACAAATAATTTGGAGAATATCATCATTATTTGGCACTATTTGTCTGAAATGTGAAATTATGGCTCTTTTAAGATCATTCTGATTCTACATGAAATGTGTTGAAATTGTGGATATGTATTAGGGCTGTGTATCACCAGCAAAGTCACGATACGATATGTATCACGATACAGAGGCCACGATACGCATCACGATACAGGACTGCACTGAATTTCACCTAAGCAGAATTTAGAAAAACAGCCGTTTATTAAACACTGCTTACTATAGTGCCATTTCTAACTATTGGCAGAGCAGGCAGTTGACCTCTGCATTATGAAGGGCCTCCATAACTGTACCACAGTACAATATAGGTAATGGCATATGTTTCATGTTTACATTGTGCACTCCCAACCAGGTACAATATTCTGATTGTTTGCATCTTGTTTTTAAGCCCATAAATAATAATGTACTCGTTCTAATAAATTTATATTGTAATGTACTCATTCTAATATATAAAATATATTTTAAAAATCACTTACATTGCTGGTAGGTTATCATTGCACAAATTAACACACTCTCTATGATAAAAAAAAACAATTTGAAGAGTTCTAAACTAACGCTTCAGAGTCAAAAGTCTTCACTGTATCTAACGCACACAAGGCTGATTTACTCGACGCGTCCGCAAGTTCGCTTAGGTGTGCGCGGCAGGACTTTCTGCGCAGCTCCGCTTCCGAAGATGCACTAGTTCAAAGCGACTCTAGCCGAACGTGCATGTCTGTGCCAGCATTTGTGTGAAACAGAAGCAGTTTGATGTTAAGTGCAGTCACACACACAGATCACGTTGCGGCCGAACTCATGAACGACATTCAGGAACAAACTTTTTAGCGCTGCCCCGCAGTTTTATCAACTAAATAGCTTAATCGCTCAAGAGCTACATTATCTTTCTCAACAAGGAGCTGGTA